GAGCCATCTCTTTAGCCCCAACTGTAGTTTTTTTGTTTGTTGGTTGATTTGGGTTTGGTTTGGTTTGGTTTGGTTTGGTTTGGTTTGGTTTGGTTTGGTGTGGTTTTGCTTTTTCCAGACAGGGTTTCTCTGTGTATCCTTGGCTGTCCTGGACTTATATTGTAGACCAGGCTGGCTTCAAAGTCACAGAGATCCGCCTGCCTCTGCCTCCCCGAGTGCGGGGATTACAGGTGTGTGCCACCGAAACTGGCTCCTAACTGTAATTTTAATCAGTCTTTGGTTACACAGCTTCTTTTCTGGAATTCTTGTCCACACTACTAAATAAGTAACTTTCATCAGCTGTCTTCTTTCTTTTTGCCAGAATTTAGTACATAATATTTGATTTATTTTGTTGTGTTATGTCTAATATTTATGTTTTATATTTAAAAGGGTTAATGTGGATGATAAGACTTAAGATCACCCCTAAGCTCATAAAACATTTGCCACTTGGGCAGTGATGGCACACACCTTTAATCCCAGCAATAGGGAGACAAGAGGCAGGCAGATCTCTGAGTTCAAGGCCGGCTTGGTCTACAGAGTTAGTTCCAGGACATCCAGGGCTACACACACATACACACACAAATTATCTTGAAAAAGAAAATGTCTGTTTTAAAATAAGTACCTTAGCTATTTCAGAACTTATTTCTTGAGGGTTTTTTTTTTAACATAATGGTTTTATTCACAAAACTTGTTTTCAATTTTTGTTTTGTTTGTTTTAGTTCTTTTCTTTGGTTTAGTTTTTCAAGATAGAGTTTCTCTGTGTAGCCTTGGCTATCCTGGACTTGCTCTGTAGACTAGGCTGGCCTCAAACTCACGGAGATCCACCTGCTTATACCTTCCTCAGAGTGCTGGAATTATAGGCCTGTGTCAATGTGCACAGCCGTTTTTGAAAATTTTTTAAATGACCAACAAGAACAGGGTTAACACATACAGATTTTTTGCCCTTCTTGGTAACAAGGTAGTTTATGATCCGAAATTAACATCTCTCATGTAATCCTCTTCCCATGACTGTAGTTTGGGTAAAACTTTCTTTTAATTGGTTCATGTGTTAATTTGTTAATGTCACTAAGTCTCTTTATATCAGGATTGATTTAAAAGGGTCAAAAATTAAAAATGACAGGCTTGTCTGATTCATACCCCCAGTAAGGTAAGCACTGACTCGTGCTTATTACAGGTTATTTTAACTTTCTCGTGGTAACATCACCAAACTCTGACTTACCAGACTTTGAGATGACAACAGAAGAAATGGACAAGTTGAGATTTACATATTTAAAACTATGTGGCGTTTTGTCTGTGTCTGAGTGTAGAATAAAAAAATATATATTCTTTCTAAATTAATGAATGCAGTAAATTTTTAGGACAGCAGTTTTCTTTAACTATCTAGATCCCCAATGACGGACAGAGAGAGGCCATGGTTTATTATTAAACTGTAAGCACTATGCTGGGCAGAGTCTGAGCTATTCTAATCCTAGTACCTTTAAAGCCAATCCCTTGCCAATCTGATGACTCCCGGGAAGCCTCTGCTCCATTATTCTCTCCTTACAGACGTGTGCTCCTCATGCATCTTGCTTCATGAGACTTCCTTCTCCCTGCTTCCTCCTCTCCTGCTACATCTTCTACTATCGTTTCTCCTACTTCTTCCTCTCTGGACCCCAAGCCCGGAGCCTAAAACTCCACCTCCCTCTCTTCTACTCAGTCATAGGCTTCAGCGTCTTTACTTAGCCAACCAGGGATAATTTCAGAACATTTCTTATCATCATATGGTTGCAGGAGATAGTTCAGCATTCATAGCAATGCCCATGGCGGGGCTGTAACTATATCTCAGGGCACTGAAATAAACATTTGAAAACACAGTTGGACGTTCCTCCAACATCTGAGTGTCATTAAGTTTGATAAGTGTTATAAACATGAAGAAGTATCATAAACCCTAAGCACTGTTCCAAAGAGCCCTACACTTGGATTTAAGTTGCATGCGTATGTATGTGGGAATGTGTGCATACACATTTTATTTTTTAATTTTCTCTTACTGTATATGTGTAGATGGTTTACTGGCATGTATGTTCATGATCCACACGTGTGCAGTGACTGCCGTGTTCAGAAGAGAGTGTTGATCCCCTGGAACTGGAATTATAATTTTGAGCTGCCATGTGGGTGCTGGGGACCAAACCCACGCCCTGTCACAGAACAGCCAGTCTCTTAACTGCTGAGCCATCTCTCATTTTCCTGTGTTTCTGATCAGGAATGTAAAGGTGACTCCAAGCTGAGAAGAAAGCAAGAACAAGGGGAAGCTTTGGTTTCTGTGGCCTACCTCATCTTGTTCCCTGCAAGGAGAAGCTGTAAGTTCAGCCCCTTGAGAACAAACCATAGTTTTTCAACCGCTCCCTTTTATATAAACATACAGCTCATATTACTAAGTTGTGGCAAAGAAATAGCCCATGCATGGATTTCTTCCTATTCACTCGGGAGTCATTTTAGAGTTACCAAGAGCTGTAGACAAGTACAAACAATTTACCCCATCATTTTGCTAACTCTCTCTGGAGCTGATATCTCATGAAATCATGGAGTGTTTATCCATGCAAAAAGATGAACTTTGATGAGCTGAGGAGATGGCACAGTTGGCAAAATGCCTGCCATGCTTTCATGAGGTCCTGAGTTTGGATCCTCCGGCACCCTGGCACCTCCATAAAAGCTAGATGAGGGTGAGTGGATCCCTGGAGCTCACTGGTGGCATAGTTCCACCAACTGTTGTACTCTGAGTTCAGTGAGAGACCTTGTCTCAATAAATAGGATCAAGAGCAATAGAGGCAGACACCCAAGGCCCGCTTCTGTCTTCACATGCATGCATGCCAGTACGCATGTATGCATACATGTATGTGTGTGTGTTCACACACCCCTTTTATATAATGATATTAATTGAATCATAGAAAACAGTAATTTTCTCCAATTTTTTCAGTAATGTCCATTAGTTTTGCTTCTAGGATCCAACCCAAGACACCTCTTGTGGTGTGTGGTCAGCGTATGTGTTGGGATTTAGACAATGTAATCCAAGAAATCACCCCCACTAGGAAGGCCTCACATGAGCGGTTTATTAGAGGAAGGGAACACAGACGCAGCTTAGGGGGTAGTGGTGGGAAGAAGAAATCGAGGAAAAGCGGATGGGTTCTTTTATAAGGTGACACTGCGCATGTGCAGGAGGTAGGGGTGTTAGGACTGTGCGGTGGAGTTGCACTGAGGTCTCACAAATCACGTCATGCGACTGGTTCCACGTGGGAGGTTTTATTAGGGGAAAGGGGGCCTCACAGATGCCTGGTGCCCCATTTGTCAGGTCCCTTGGGGGCTGGCTATAGAGATGCCTGCTTAAGGATCCCAAGGGGTGTGCTTTGAAGCTGCCATACAGCTGTCGCAACTCAGCACATGTTCGGACACCAACATGTGGCTTCTGGTGGTCAGAAAAGGTGTCTCAGTGGTGCTGATGTGTTTCGCTATTGCCAGGTTCCTGGGGCTGATGGCAGAGCTGCCTGATTACCAACAGTATGTCCTAGGCTCTCCTCTCTTGTGAGCTTTATGACTGACACCTCAAGCCCTGCTCAGGTGTTCTGCAGCACACCAACAAATGTGGACCATTTGGTGTTTTCTCCTGGGTAGACTGTTTTCACATCGGGGAGAGGACACCACAGAGATGAAGAGCCAGAGATAACGTTGTATTTTCTTTATGCGTGTGTTTGTCATCTGTTCATGGATTTTTACTGCTCTACCAGGGGGCTTTGATGTTTTTCTCACCTTCTTAAAGTGACTTTTCTTCTTTACTGTTTGTCTAGATGTCTGTGGAAGGTGTCCAAGAAGTCCAGAAGGGATGTCATACCCTTAAGAGCTGGAGCTACAGGCTGTTGCATCGTTGCTAGGAACCAAAACAAAGTCCTCTCCAAGCGCAGCAAGTACTGTTAAGCACTGAGCCAACTCTCCAGCCCTTGGAAGTGATTTTTATTTTGAGGGCTTTAGAACCTTGCACTGAATGAACAAGCATTTTCTACTAATTTCTACAGTTGGATTTTGAAGGATTGAGGGGTGGGTCGATTTTTTTTTTCAATGCAAAAAACAAACACATTTCTATTGTTTGTAAGAGATACAGTTCACATCTTATCAAAGCAGTTGAGAAAGAATGAGGCAAAGAGAGCGTGCTTGTAACTCAGGGCACATACCCCCCTGAGTGCTGTGTACGCTGTGCTTTGGCCAGAGCAGGAACGTGAGGGCTGAAGGCATTACACTCTGCTCACTCTGAATGCCTCAAGTGAATCTGGCCTGTGTTCATTGTTAACCAGAGACGATACATACAGAAACTCTTCTGAAATTCGCTAGCCAGTGTCTGACCCTTGTATTAGCAGGATATTTCTACAAGCTTGTTTCACCACACCTGAGACCCTTGCCTCTTAGCATCCCCAGGACCTGCGTACGCACAGTCTAAACTGGAGGGTGATCACAAAGCGGCCGCTGTGTCTGCGAGGTCTGAGCCATACTACACGGCAGCTGGGATAGACATTAGCAGCATACACATTAATTGCCTGGCCAGCTCTGTCTCCCCTCACATGTTACAATGCGATCTCGTGGGCTTTAACGATTGACGTGAGATGTCCTTTCTGATGCTGGGTTCCTCTTGCACAACACTCAAACAATACAGAGAAACTTTGGAAGAGGAGTCAGGAAGAGAGTAACAAGGATGATTGGGACCAGACAGGAGGCCAGCATATGGGCTCACTTGGATGACCACATTAGGAGGCTGGCAGGAGACAGCAAAGGGGCAGCAATTCTCCAGAGCCATTCCCTGGCCTTGAATCACAGACAAGAGGCTAGCATGGCCACAGGCATAGTGCCCCAAGGGAAAAAAAAGGGGTAGCATGTCAAGGGAACAGGAAGAGGCTGCTGACCTCCAAAGGACACCAAAAAAGGGGGGAGGTGTTGTGTTACTAGCTGGCAAGCCGGAAAGTGAGGAGGGGGCTGGAGCTGGGCATCAAAACAAAGCGGTAGACCATCTGCACATCCTCTTGCTCTTGTGTCTCCACGTGGAAGGATTTCAGAATCTGGAAACAGGTTGGGGTGGGTATGAGATGATTCCATCTGGCCTCCTCAGCAGGTCAAAGCACTGGCTCCTCTCCTGCTGAGCTGCAGGGTGCTGCCACCATCCCGCAAGAGGACCTCCTTTGGGGTACTGAGAGCCCAGTCCTGCTCTAGAGACCACACCCACCCCTCAAGGTACCACTAAGGATCTATCTAGGCTCAGCTTGCCCACATTACACTGCGAGTCTCATCCTACTGGACCTTATTCTTAAGGCTCTCCCCCCTCCCCTTTGTGCTTGCTCTGGTAAACCAGAAGCCCCAGGCTTGTCTTAGTCATCCGCCATCCAGCTGCCCCCAACCCCTGATTCCCACAGGTGCTCACGTGATGCAGCAGGAGCAGCATCTCCACCTCTGCCAGGCGCCTCCCCAGGCACTGGCGCACCCCAAAGCCAAAGGCCAGGTGCTGGAAAGTCCTCTTCCTCTCCAGCCAGCGCTGAGGCACGTAACGCTCAGGCCTTTGGAACACTGCAGGGTTTCGGCCCATGGAGTACAGATAAAACTGGACCAATGTCTGTGGGCAGATATCAAGGGCAAGATGTCAGCTGCCTCTTTGAGGTGATGCAGAACAGGGCAGTTGGTGGGTGTATGAGGATAACTCACCCCAGCAGGGACATGGTAGTTCTGAAGCACCAAGTCTGAGCTTAGAGTTCTCTCCAAAATACTAGCAACAGGATAGAGCCTTGGGGAGAGGAAGCAACAGGAGAGGCCTCAGAGATGAAGGGCTTCTCCTGTCCACACATGTGCCCTCCTCCCTCAGATCCTCCAGAGGTGTGGTTCCTGGCTCTGCTGAACTCAGGCAACCTCCAGAGGAACAATAGCATAGAAAGAAGAACAAAGAACATGGCTGTCCTCCTCCCATCTAAAAGAGGGCACAGAAAGGCAGGGGAGGTGCAGGCAGCACCTACCTCAAGGTCTCTTTAAGGGCAGCCTGCAACAGAGGCAATTCTGACTTAAGCCTCTGAGGATTTGCAGCAATGCTGGCCTCAGCTGCCAGGCTCTCCTGCCGAAGGGCCTGCTGAACATCTGGGTTCCGAGCCAACTCGAAAAGGGTCATTACCAAGGGGATTGATGTCTGCAGGAGACAGAGAGCAATCTCAGACACTCTCCTAAAGGGCACCCCACTATGAAGATGCCCTTCCCTGGGGAAAAGTGCATGGTGTGTACAGGGTGGGATCCTGGGAGCCCCAACCTGATCGTCCAATGTTCACCTGAACTCTTTGCCCTACCTCCTGAGGGAAACCTCCTGACATGCTACTCCTGGCCAACACTTCATCACCTTTAGAGCTGGGTACTGACAATGTGATCTTGGAGCCCATTGAAATGGACTCCTTGTGTCACCCACCTCTGCCCTCCCTGATACCTTGTTTGTACTCCTGGCTGTCCACATGTCCCCCAGAACTGGCCTTGTCCAAACCACTTCACACTAAGTTCTCCTGACTGGCGTGAGCCCTGAGCCCTAGATCCAAAATGCCTCTTTCAATGGCACCACCCACAAAAGCAATATCTTAGGTCTCTCTCTCTCCCGGAAGCCGCTGATCTGCTTCCATGCTGTACACTGGGCATATCAACCTGGTTTTATGCTGGCTGATAGGCACAAGACCTGGTTCATGGCCCTTCCTAAGGGGGCCCAGATCCCTGTTGCCCTCATCTGGCCCTGCTTCAGGTAGCTTGCTGTCTCCTCAGGCCCTGGCTGGTGTGCATACAACTCTGGCTTTTCAGACTCCCTGGTCTCTGTCTGCACTGTTCCCACACCTCTTTATTCTCACTCCCATAAGCCTTGTGCTGCTCCTCATCCCCTCCCATGAACTATTGCATGGTAGGAACATCCTGACCTCTGTTGTTACTCTTTCTTCTCTAGAACTTGAGTCCTCTGTTCCTACTCAAGAAGCCTAGCCCAGAGCAGTCCCTTGGAGAATTGTCCTTTGACGGGCAGGAATTTGCATCTGGGCCTACAGTCCCCACTAGACTGTACTGCCATCTTCTCCTTTCAGCATCAGTGGGTAATCTGGGTGCTTGTCACTCCCTTCAGCCTTGTCTTCCCTTGCATCTGCCTCAAGTTCACCCTGACAAGTAGGCCTGCTCTACACTCCAACAGAGGACTCTGGGCCACTCGCTGTTGTTTTAGGCCCACAGCATGCTTGTGTATTGGAGGAGATGAGGGATAGGCTGCTTCTCAAAAGGTTTTAACTAACCCGGTTTGTGCCTGGAACTTGGATGTGCAGGTCTTGACTACAGCTGTGTAGCTAGGATCCCCTTTGCTCAGACACTTCACTAGCCTCACAGCAAATGGCCACAGCGAGGGAACAGGAGTGGGCAGTGCAGGTGAGGAGGGAACTGTGAGTGACTATGCTTTGGGGAAACACCATGAGGTCTAGGATGGAATTCATGGGATGCTGACCGTGTCTACACTTCCAGCAGTGAGCTCCAAAGAATTGGCATGGATGCTATCCATTGTCAGAGCACTCTCTGTAACCAGCTCTGAGACGATACTCCAGTTCTTCAGGTGACCCTCTGCCAGCCCTCGATACACACTCTTGATACATTGTGCGACTGTAGAAGAAGAGAAAACCTGGAGTCGTGGTGCTGGGACAGGCCTCTGCTTCATCCCCGTAGCTGCCGTGTCCCTATCACCCAGCTCTTCCTGCTTATATGCCACCATTGCTGGGCTATACAATTCTAAACTCTCCATGGAATCACAGGAAGGGCCTTAAGTAGCCCCAGCTCTTTGAAGTGACTAAAGGTGAATGACAATCATGTGACCATTGTTCCCTGCCCCCGTGGTGCTGCCCAGCTCAGTGGCCCTCACCATACTCAGAGATGGCATCCCAGGCCTCAAAATGTTCTTTCCACACCCGGTTGCTCGTCCATCGAGTCAGGCTCTTGGGTAGGAACAGGAGCTGGGTGGTAGACTTGAACATGGAATGTAAGGCGTGGATGAACTTCAGGCTGCCAGGACTCAGGTCACTGCCGATGAGGCCCAGCCGCTCTCCAAAAAGAACAAAGTGGCTGGCTGCAAAGAGAATACTATTGCTGATCCAGGGCTGTCACTGGTCTCAGTGCTGTCTCTCCTTCCTGGCCTCAGCCTTCCCTGTCTCCCTCCAGCGGGAACCTTCCCCAGGACACACACCTTCTATAGTATAGTTGAAGAAATTGGAGTAAGAGTCTATGGAGAAGCTTTCATGGGTGGTCTCCAGCATCTTCTTCATGTTCTGCACGAAGTCCCTTGCTACCGTGTCCACCATAGGGACAAACTTTTGAACGGCTTCCAGTGACAGAACATTTGGGTTCAGCCTCAGTCTATTGAAGCGCCATTCGGGCCCATTTCTGCAGAGCACAGAGCAGAGCTACAGACACCGCCCAAGAAAGGCCTGGCCCAGGCCTGTGCACATCTTCCCGACTCTCAAAGAAATTGGAGGAAAAGAGGTGTTGGGCTCAGGGGCAGACTATGCACGTCCTGACCCCACTCCTTTCTTCCAAAGCAGCCTCGAAGGTGGTTTCGATACATCCACAGCCAGGGGGAAAGGAGACTGCTGTCAAGCTCTGCCCACCCAGCCTATGCCAACCCCCACCTCCCCCGAGGAGAAGCCCTAGCTGAGCTCACTCCCCCTGACAGTCCCGTAGACTGTGTGGCCTCTGAGACATCAGCATCTTCCTAGCTCAGCTAAGGGATCCCATCTTCCCTAAGGCAGGAGCCTCAGCGGAGGACCACTCTCAGCATCTACAAACCCCAGCCCAGGGCACAGGGCTCCCATGGAGATTCTCCAGTAAACGACAGGCAGGAGCTTACACACTGAGCCACACATGTAGAATACCTGTTCTTTGGTATGCTAAAGCCTGCAACCATCGGCAGCGACAACACGCACATGCACACATGTACCCACACAGGACCTCAAAAATATGTGTGAAGGTTCCAGTCCCTGTGTGCACAAACCTAGGAGAGTAGCTATGCACACTGGGGTGAATACACAGCCTACATCTGGACACATCACACGGTCACGCTTTAACATACATACTAACAAATCAAGTTCCACAAACAGACGGATGCAAGACATGCACGCACACATCACATACATATGTGCATGGCTCTGCCTCCCTGCCTGCTGAGCCTCTCCCTAACTCCCAGATAATGGCAGTCAAGTCTCCGAGGAACTCGTTTCCCTGAACTGTTACTGAGAAAATACGGCTCTTTATGTGGTCTCAGGTGGCCTTCCGCAAACCTGACTTCCTTTGCACTCCCAGTAGTAACAACCCCTTTGCAGTTCATACAACCCAAGCCTCCAGGAGCCCCTGCTTGCCTCTCCAGAAGTGCACACAGCCACTGGAGGAAACGCTCCCTGCTTTTCCCACTCCATTCAGTGTTTGATTGTGAGCCCCAAAGAGCTAACTTTCTGCTCTCCACCCCTTAGTCTCCAGGACTGTCTACCCCAAATCTCTGTAAGAGAAGCCTCCCCTAGGGCAGGGAGACTGCCTTGCTGGACATCAGGCAGAAGCTGGCTGGGGCCCTTACCCAGGGTCTTGCCCATCCCCACCTTGCTGGAGCAGTGTGATAGCCTATTGAGAGGAGAGACTGGGAAAGGCCTGTTCAGGGCAAGTGCCAGATGGGGAATCATTGCTTCTCTCACCCATGTTTGGCCATCTCCCTCCTCCCCAAACCCATAACCTCCACGGCACGGTACCAATCTGTGCTTGGTGGGGGCTGGTCTTTGTATCCACCCCAGCCAATTCTGCATCCTGTGTTCAGGACTCAAGCCTCACCCCCCACTCCTCATGCCCAGTGTCCACTCACAGCAAAAACACACCACAACCCAGGCCACGGTGTTCTCTGTGATCCAACCAGGATTCCAAGGGTAGGCGGATGGGGTGTGGGCCGTCTATCTGGAGCACCTTTTTAGCATCCTCTGGCAACATCACAGACACTATCTTTGTTCTTCCTATGTTGTGCCTGTGGGGTGAAGAACAGAGTCTGGCAGTAGGTGGAATAGCCTCTACCTGAGCTCCCTGAAAACCAGGCCTGTCAGGGTGCTCCCTTGCCTCATCCTCTCCCAGCCCTTGCTTTCCCCACAGGAGGGCTCGCCCACTGCCTGCCTGACTCCTCTCCACTTCAGCGCTCCTGCACTCTGTCCTCTTTCTCTGTCCCTGTGGAGAAGCCTGGTATCCCTGAGTCAGGCCCATGACCTACTGTGCTCCCTCCCTGACTCCCTGAGGATGGAATGCCTGCTGCTCACCTCATACCCGGCAGAGCCTGGGCAAGCAGAGAGGCAGGGAGCTCTGTCTGTGCTCAGCTGTGGGTCAGGAAGGCCCTTACCTGAAAATGGGCCCCAGCTCCTGAAAGGCCTGGTTCATCTCCAGATGCAGGTTCTCTTGGCCCTGCTCCCTCAGGATCTGTAGCATCTTCAGCCACTTGTTTCTGGAGTACTGCGGTATAGCTTCAAAGGGCTGCGGTGTCGTGGGGGCTGGCGTTGCTGTGGTGCCCAGCGCCCTCCTGCTGTGTAGGCGCTGCCAGGGTCTTGCCAGCCACATGCCTGCTTTCACCCCGAGTGCCATTACCATGCTCCCTTCTCCGTTCAGTCCATGGCCTTTTATCTCGCCTTGCGGACATGAACTGCCAACTGACAGTGTCATTGAAGGCTATGTCCCTGGACTTGCCCTAGAAATTTAGTCAGAGCTGATGGCTCTGCTGGAGGTAGAAGAAGGAAAGAGCCTTCTGTCTGGTCCTGTCCCTGCAATGCCTGTTGGTGGCTGAGAGCTGAGGTCAGGCACAGAGTCGACAAGGACACCAGAGGAACGTCCACTCGCGAGCAGAGCCCCTTTCTCCTCCCCAAGGAGAAAACAGTCAGATGAGTATATTTTGACTTCTTGCGGAGCCTTGAATGATTTATCCTGACATCAAGATCACTAGCCAGATAAGGAGGGTGGCTGTTTATTCACTACCCTAATTCACATTTCAGTGAATCTGCTTTTGAAATCTCGAGTGAGAAATAACAAATATATTTGCCATAGGGTAAGGGGATGGCTTAGTGGATCAAGCAGAGAACCTGAGTTCAGATCCTTCAGAACCTTGTAAAAGCGAGCGAGGCACATCAGTGGGAGAGGATCGCTCCAGCAGTGGGGAGGCTGAGGCAGGCAGACGCCAGAGCATCAGTAGTCAAATGAGAACATTCTAGGTTTACTCCAAGACCTCACACACACACACACAGTCAAACCTCTCCCCCGTACATATGTGCATGCGTGTATCCATATGTGTATATTCACATACACACTTTTTATAAAGAGGAGGGTATTTTTCTTTTTCTTATTCTTGACGGAAGGGGTGAGGTCTCTTTGGGTAGCCCTGACTATTCTGGAACTCATTCTGTAGACCAGGCTGCTTGTTTCCAATGATCCATAATATCACAGGTGCTCTAGCTGTCTTGCTCCCATAAATCAAGCTATGCCCCTGCAGCAGACAGGTCCCTGCTGTGAAAGAGCACATAGATCTGGGAAAGGTTGGAAGCAAGCCCAGCCCCTCTTTTTCAGAGCTACAAGATGACTTTGTGGTCTTATCCAGGATCTGGGTCCTTGGCACTGAGTTCATAAATACAGTTTCCCATTCCCACTCTGAAAAGCTTTAGATGTCAGATTTTTCCTTTGTTCAGGGGATGTCTCTAAAGGCTCTCTTTCTCTTTTAGACTCCCACGTCTACCATGACCTTCCTGTATGTCACAGCTGTCTTTCTTATTCTCCTTTAAGCTTCTGATGGAGCCATCCTCCAGACTTTTGAAGGGAAGCCTATATTTCCCTGTCAGCTCCAGTCCTATCTGCTCTCTCATCTTCCGACCTGATCCTCTACCCCTTCCCTAATTGATCTCCCACACCAAGGCCCAATCATGACCACTGTGGTATCCAGGTTCTTTCTGCTAATATAAGAAATGAACCCTTATGATCTGCTTTCAAGATGAGGTGTGTTTAGAGCCCATCAGATAATCACAAACAAGTGAGAGGCAACAGGCTCCTATCTTCCCCTGCTGGAAGTGGGTGTCTGCTTTTCTAGTTGCTCCCACTTCGTCTTAGAATTGAAAAGACAGTCTGCTACATGACTGAATCCACATGTCCAAAAAGGAGACATAGGGAAATCCTGATCCCCAGGAAGACAGGGACTTCGGATATGGAGCTATGTTACCTCAGCATGGGATGACTGTAACTCTCTGGAATTAGCCCCCTTCTTTTGTGCAGGAAGGGGCCGAGACAGTAGGAATAGTTTGGGGACTCTAGAAAGCACTATTTCATGCCTGCCATGTTTGCATTTTCTCCACCCTGACACTCACTTCTGCAGAATCTTAACATAAAACCTTTCTTATGTTCTCTAGCATAAGGGCAGTGAAGTCTAGGCTAGTGACTCTCTGGAGGAAAGCAAAGACTTTGTTGTGAATGACATTAGAGATTATTGTATTATGGTCTAGGAAGCATCTGGCTGCATTTTACTCATGCCTTGGAAATTTGTATGTGGCCAAATCAAACATAATAGGCTAAGTTGTCTGGTAAAGCCATTTGAAGAGAGCACAACATTCAGGCGGGAGTGGGTTGTTCACTGCTCTGTCACATTTATAGTGAGAGAAGCAGAAAGATGTGAAAACACCGTTTTGGTGAAGAAAAGGGTAGAAAGGAAATTAATGTTGTACCTAGGAGAGAGAAGGTTAGTTTGGTCAAACAGACATGCCTGTTAGATATTGACACTGTAGGAGAATCTTCACACATGCACTTGAATTAGAGGAACAGCACCTAGAGTCTAAAACCCCACGCTTGTAGAGCTTAAAAGTCCAGCCTATTCTGAGACTCAGGACAGAATGCAAACTCACCTGGAAAGCTTTCATTCCAAAAGAAAGGGACTTTACAGAGAGCTCCTGGGGCATCCGTCTCCAGCAGGACCTTCTTCAGCAGGAAAGGTTTTCCCCGTTTCATGCAAGCAGGTGTTCAGAGACTATCGTGACTGTAATAGAAGGGGCCCTTGGCTATGCCTCCAGCTGGCAGCAGAACTCAAGCATCATCCACATGATGCTGATTTGGTAGGCATGCAGTATGAGGCATACAGCAGTGAGAGGGTGAAAGAGGCCTCTGCCAAGTTTCCAGAAAGCTGCTGAGGCCAGACAATGTGAAACTCTTGAGCGGGCTGTGCAGGAATCAGTGAGGGGAATCCTAAGGTACAATGGAGACCTCAGGATATTGGAGATACCAGAAATGTGGATGTTTGCCAACAGAAAGCCACAGGTGTTAAGTAGAGCCTGGTCAATGGGGATAATATGCTACAGTCAACAGAGCTAGAGAGGTAGGGCTTGCCAACCCCTCTGAGGCCAGATGATGCCATCTGGAGCTCAAGATGCCAACCAATCATGGAACTTAAGCATTTGATGCTTGCTCTGCTGAATTCTTGCTTTGGCCTGATCCCCTGTGATGGTTAGCTTCAACTGTCAACTTGCCGCTACCTAAGATAACCTGAGGTGAGGGTCTCGGTGAGGGGTTGTCTACATTTGATTGGCCTGTGGGTGTGTCTATGGGTGAATGGGTTTTAATTAAATTCATTAACATGGCAAGATCCAGCCCTCTGTGGACAGTACCATTCCCTAGCCGGGGAGCCTAAGCTTTCTGGAAGTGAAGAAATCAATCTGAGAGAAAGCAAGTGAACAATCACACACGTGCTTTAGCTCCTGATTGTGGAGATATGTGACTAGCCATTCAAAGTTCCTTCCTTGACGTCCCCTCCATGATAGGCTGTAACTTGGAATTGTAAGCCAAACAAACCCTTTTCCTCCTAAGCTGCTTTTTGTTGGGCTATTTTATCACAGCAGCAGAAATGAAACCAGGACAGCCCCTATTTCTCCCTTTTAGACCAGAGACCGTTACTCTGAGCCTTTGGATGTGAGAATGCATTACTTGGTAATTTTTTTTTTTTCTAAATAGTTATGAGATGGCCTTGGGTCCCAGAAAAAAGACTTTGGATTTTTGAAAAGTATTACAACTGCTAAGTCCCAGGGACTTTTAAAGAGAACTGGAAATCCTTTGCATTGTGACCTATGGGTATTTTGGAGTCAAGGACAGAGTGCTATAGTTTGGCTGTGAAATGTCCCCCACGGGATTGCATATTTGAACACTTGATCCCCAGCTAACGGCTCTGGATCTGGAAGTTGTAGAACACTGAGGAGGTAAGGCCTAGCTGGAGAAAAGGCTATCTGGAGGAAAGGCTTTAAGATTTATTTGTCTGGCCCCATGCATAAAACGTGTTTTATACGTGCTTTCTGTCTCCTGTTCTATCAAGATATAAAGAGATGAGGAGTCCAAGCCTCAGGCTCCTGCTACCACAAAATCGGCTATACCTGTGCCTCCCCTAACACAATTAACTGTATCCCTTGGGGTGGTTGGCTCTAACTGTCAACTTGCTACAGTCTAGATTCACCTGGAAAGAGGGTCTCAATAAGGGATTGTCTGCATTGGTTGGTTCATGGGCATGTCTATGTCTTAATGATGTTCATTGATGTGGAAAGACCCAGCCCACTGTAGGCAGGACCATTCCCTAAGCAAGACGTCCTACACTTGTAAAAGTGGAGAAATCAAGATGAGCACAAGCAAATCAAGCAAGTGAATGTGTGTATATGTGTGTATATGTAGATCTCATGACATTATGGGCACATCTTTTATAGACACAGAGGAAAACAAGGCTAGAAATAAATGCTGCAAGTAAGAATGGAAAGTCTCAATTGCAAAGAACATAACAAACACATACCAAACACCAAGAGTTAAAGTAGGAGTTGGGAAATCAGAAAATGCCTGGCCCAAAAGGAAATTAAAACACAACACAGTAAAACTCAGTAACAACAAAATCAGCACTCAGAGAGAAATTCTAAATACAGATCATTAATCTCAGTTCTTGTTCAATTCTTTTTTGTAATTTCTTTTTTAATTTATTTATTTATTACAGTTTATTCACTTTGTATCCCAGCTGTAGCCCTGTCCCTTGTCCTCTCCCATTCCCACCTCCCCTCCATTTCTCCTCCCATGCCCCTCCCCCAGTCCACTGATAAGGGAGGTCCTCCTCCCCTTCCATCTGATGAGTCTATCAGATCTCATTAGGACTGGCTGCATTGTCTTCCTCTGTTGCCTGGTAAGGCTGCTACTCCCTCAGTGGGATGTGACCAAAGAGCCAGCCACTGAGTTCATGTCAGAGACAGTCACTATTCCCATTTCTAGGGAACTCACTTGGACACTGAGCTGTCATGGGCTACATCTGTGCAGGGGTTCCAGGTTATCTCCATGAATGGTCGTTGGTTGGAGTATCAGTCTCAGAAAAGACCTCTTTGCCCAGATTTTTTGGTTCTGTTGCTCTCCTTGTGAAGCTCCTGTCCCCTCCAGGTCTTTCTATCTCCTCCTTCTTTCATAAGATTCCCTGCACTCTGCCCAAAGTTTGGTTATGAGTCTCGGCATCTCCTTTGATACCCTGCAGGGTAGAGTCTTTCAGAGGCCCTCTGTGGTAGGCTCCTGTCCTGTTCCCTGCTTTCTCCCTCTTCCAATGTCCATCTCCTTTGCCTTTCTGAATGAGGATTGGGAATTTTACTATTGTCAGTTTTCACTTCCCTAGCTAGTTTATACCTAAGGGGTATTTTGAGTAACTATAAGTGAAGAGATTTTTTTGGTTTTTTGCCTGAGAAAGTTCACTGTGGATGTACAATATTCTTGTCACTCTCTTAAATGCAAGAATAAGCTCAGAGCTTTGTGAAGTCTTTAGGCTTTCCCAGGAATAGAGCCATATCAATAAGTGGAAATCAAGATTAGCCGTGAACACATAAGAACATCACAATGGAACCAATGTTTTGTGCACTAATTTTTAAACTACTAATATTAAAAAATTTATCATTATGACACACAGGCTGACTCCTCAGAAAATGAGAGACCTGAATCCCAGACTGCTCCCCACAACAGCTCCTTCAAGAACATACCTCTGAGACCCAGATTCTTGCCTATTGAACTATACCCCATAATATTCACCACCTCATAGTAGTGCCATGAGCTGGATTTGTGTGTGTATGTGTGCGTGTTAGGGGACTATTAACCACAGATAGTTTGTGCTTAGCAGGTCATATTGGCTATTACCATCACAGCAAAAGACTTTAAACTAGAACTTCAACAACAGAAGATCATTTTTCACAACCAAGGAGGTGAGAGACTGAGTGAAGGAACTAAGAGAGCAGAAATCCCCTGACTTCTTTTCATGGCTTACAGAAGACCAACTTCATAGAGGCTGCCTCTGTGGGCCTGTAACCTCACTCTCTCTCTGTGAGGCTCTCTGGCGGATTGGATTAGGCACAACTCAGTAGCCTCATTTTACATGAATTACCTGGTTAAAGGCCCCATCTCCACACTGGCTCATACTTTGGAGTCTGGCTCAGGTAGATGGGCTTCAGTACTTCCCCTGTGAAACAGTTGTTCTTTCCTCTAAATTCACAGCTGAAAGGAAGCCTGCAAAATGCGTGTGCTCTGAGCCACTTTCACGAGTCAGGAGATTAAAGCTTTGTCCAGGGGGCACTGGCAGAAGTCAGTCAGCACCTTGAACTCCTGGAAGAAGACAACCATCCCGGTAGGAAGTTCACACGTTATCAGGCTACAGGGGGTCCCCCTGCATCTCTGATGCCACCACTACCCAGTCCTTAGCAAGGGCAGATGTCCCTACTCTTAAATATGCTGTACTGACTCACCAGCTCATCTGTTCCAACTCCATTGTCAAGCCACGTTAACCAAAACACAGAGATAATCTGTCTATGCATCTATGTATCTATGTACCTATGTACGTATGTATGTATGTATGTATCTATCTATCTCTATCTATCTATCTATCTATCTATCTGCCTATCATCTATCTATCTTTCTGTCCCCACAAAACTCTGTGTGTGTGTGTGTGTGTGTGTGTGTGTGTGTGTGTGTGTGTGCCACTGGAAAGGATGGGGAAAATAACCCAGCAGAGATTTCTTGTTGGCACCAAGATTCTCTCAATCCCTTCCCTGGCCTTGCTAGTCCCTCACCCTGGAGGTCTTCAGCTATGAACCAGGTACAGGTGTTGGAGGCTGACAGTGTGACCCAAAAGAAATCCTGTTGGCAAAGAAGTGTGACCTTGAGTGTCAGGATAGAAGAGGTAGACAGAAGAGGTGGCCTGACCAGGACCCCAGATGCAGAAGTGACTAGCTGGCAAGCCGGAAAGTGAGGAGGGGGCTGGAGCTGGGCATCAAAACAAAGCGGTAGACCATCTGCACATCCTCTTGCCTTAGTGTCTCCACGTGGAAGGATTTCAGCACCTGGAACACAGGGTTGAGCGGGTGTGGAGGAGGATGCTATCTGGCCTCCTCATCAAGGCGGAGCACTGGCTCGCCTCCTGCTGAGCTGCTTAATGCTACCACCATGCTGCAAAGAGGACCTCCTGTGGAGGCCTGAGGGCCTAGCCCTGCCCCAGAGACCTCAACAAACATAGGAAGCCCAGACAGACCCTGAAGGCCTCTGCTTTTGGTCCAAATACTGCCCCCCAACCCCCATCCCAAGGCCCCACCCAAAATGCTCACGTGGTGCAGCAGGAGCAGCATCTCCACCTCTGCCAGGCGCCTCCCCAGGCACTGGCGCACCCCAAAGCCAAAGGCCAGGTGCTGGAAAGTCCTCTTCCTCTCCAGCCAGCGCTGAGGCATGTAACGCTCAGGCCTTGGGAACACTGCAGGGTTTCGGCCCATGGAGTACAGATAAAACAGGACCAATGTCTGTGGGCAGATATCAAGGGCAAGATGTCAGCTGCCTCTTTGAGGTGATGCAGAACAGGGCAGTTGGTGGGTGTATGAGGATAACTCACCCCAGCAGGGACATGGTAGTTCTGAAGCACCAAGTCTGAGCTTAGAATTCTCTCCAAAAAGCTACCAACAGGATAGAGCCTTAGGAAGAGGAAGCAACAGGAGAGGCCTCAGAGATGAAGTGCTTCTCCTGTCCACACATGCGCCCTCCTCCCTCAGATCCTCCAGAGGTGTGGTTCCTGGCTCTGCTGAACTCAGGCAACCTCCAGAGGAACAATAGCATAGAAAGAAGAACAAAGAACATGGCTGTCCTCCTCCCACCTAAAAGAGGGCACAGCAAGGCAGGGGAGGTGCAGGCAGCACCTACCTCAAGGTCTCTTTAAGGGCAGCCTGCAACAGAGGCAATTCTGACTTAAGCCTCTGAGGATTTGCAGCAATGCTGGCCTCAGCTGCCAGGCTCTCCTGCCGAAGGGCCTGCTGAACATCTGGGTTCCGAGCCAACTCGAAAAGGGTCATTACCAAGGGGATTGCTGTCTGCAGGAGACAGAGAGGAATCTCAGACACTCTTCTCTAGTCCTCCACAAGAGGAACCCCTACCATGAGAATGCCCCTCTCTGAGACAAGTGTAAGGCCATAGCAGGGTAGGACACTGAGAGCCGTGACTCATTGCCCTAGTGTTTACCTGGAATCCTTGCCCTAAGTCCTAAGGGACAGGCCACTGGCCTGGCCACTCTCCCAGTCCAGGCCATTCTCCCAGTCCTGGCCACTATCTCAGCATCTTCAGTGTCTGGTGCTCACAGCTTGCTCCAGTACCCAGTGGGGTAGGGCTTCGGTGTCACTTAGGGGCACTCCACCACTGATGTCTACATTCCCAGTGTTTGATTGACCTTGGCTGTCCACAGGCCCCTCAGCACTGACCTCATTGCCCAGGCCTAAAATGGGTCCTAGCTTTCCATCCTATCTCCTTCTGCTTCATTGAGAAGCTCTAGGGTGAGCCCCATGCCCATATGTCCAGGATGCTTCTTTGTATGGCACAGCCCACAGAAACAGCCCCCTACATCTCTCCCTGATGTCACCACCCTGCCCCCACTCTCCACCTGGGCATGCTGACTTTTGTGTTCATCTATCTTGTCATAAGACCTGATGCATGGCCTTTCTTGATGGGACCCTCAGCCCAACTGACCTCATCTATCTCCCTGTCTTTTGCTTTAGGCAGCCAGCCACCTTCATGAGCTTTGTGTTGCTGCTTGCAAATGGCTCTGCCCCTTTCTCTCATCTCTGGGCTGCTGCTGCACCTTCAGCTAAAGATCTCCCTCTTTCTGGCACACCTCTAAGCACAGTCAAGGGCTACAGGCTCCTGGAAGAAACAACCTGGGAAATGCCCTGGAGGATACAGACAGGGAGTCACAGGGGATTCCCACAGGATGGCCTGACCGTGTCTACACTCCCAGCGGTGAGCTCCATAGAGTTGGCTTTGATGGCGTCAAGAGGCAAAGCTCCCTGAGATATTAGCTCTGCCACAATGCCACTGTAGGTCTGAGGATTGCCAATTCTGAGTTCCTGGTGCACCTTCCAGATACATCTGTTGGCTGGAAATGTGAAGTGGGAGCTTGAATACAAGCAGCTCGCGGCATCCTGTTGTACACCCCCACCCTCATGACCAAACCCCTGCTCTGCTCCCACTATCTCTGGGTCAGTTCACCCATAGGCTTGGTAGGAACATGTTGGAAGAACAGGAAACAGCAGACACCATCATTTGTGATGACCCCGTTTTAGACAAATTAAGGGTGAAAAGAAGTTAGTTGTCTCCTGCCCCGTGGCACTGCCCAGGTCAGTGGCGCTCACCATACTCAGAGATGGTATCCCAGGCCTCAAAATGTTCTTTCCACACCCGGTTGCTCGTCCATCGAGTCAGGCTCTTGGGTAGGAACAGGAGCTGGGTGGTAGTCTTGAACATGGAATGTAAGGCATGGATGAACTTCAGGCTGCCAGGACTCAGGTCATGGCCAAGGAGGCCCAGCCGCTCTCCAAAAAGAGCAAAATTGCTGGCTACAGAAAGAATGGTATCCCTGAGAAAAGGCAACCCTTGGCTTCAAGACTGCCTCACCTTTCCCTCCCACACATCTCTGTGTGACTCCCTTGAGCTGGAACTTTCCCAGGCCACATACCTTCTATGGTGTAGTTGAAGAGGCCTTGCTGGATGTCCATGGTAAGGCTCCCACGAGTATTCTGGAATACCCTCTTCTTCATGTTCTGCACGAAGTCCCTTGCTACCGTGTCCACCATAGGGACAAACTTTTGAACGGCTTCCAGTGACAGAACATTTGGGTTCAGCCTCAGTCTATTGAAGCGCCATTCGGGCCCATTTCTGCAGAGCACAGAGCAGAGCTACAGACACCGCCCAAGAAAGGCCTGGCCCAGGCCTGTGCACATCTTCCCGACTCTCAAAGAAATTGGAGGAAAAGAGGTGTTGGGCTCAGGGACAGACTACGCACGTCCTGACCCCACTCCTTTCTTCCAAAGCAGCCTCGAAGGTGGTTTCGATACATCCACAGCCAGGGGGAAAGGAGACTGCTGTCAAGCTCTGCCCACCCAGCCTATGCCAACCCTCACCTCCCCCGAGGAGAAGCCCTAGCTGAGCTCACTCCCCCTGACAGTCCCGTAGACTGTGTGACCTCTGAGACATCAGCATCTGCTCAGCTAAGGGATCCCATCTTCCCTAAGGCAGGAGCCTCAGCGGAGGACCACTCTCAGCATCCACAAACTGCAGCCCAGGGCACAGGGCTCCCATGGAGATTCTCCAGTAAACGACAGGCAGGAGCTTACACACTGAGTCACACAAGCAGAAAACATGTCCCTTTGTATGCTAAAGCCCGCAACCATTGACGGTGATTACAAGCACATGTATGTGCACACTGGACCTCAAAAAAGGTGTGTAAACACTCAAGTTCCTGTGTGCACAACACTAAGACAGCAGCCATGCTCAAAGGTGCAAACCCACACAGAGAGCCACAGATGTAGACAACATGTGCTTTCATGTTGAGACAAAACACATGGTCACGTACTTACACACGTGCAAGAATATACGCACATGCATACACACACACGCACCCACGCACGCACGCACGCACGCGGGCTCCCTGATTTCTCAAATTCGCCTGCTCACATTTTGCCCACAGCTTCTATTTGCATCAGGCCTCCCTGCCAGACTCCCTTTGTTAAGTGCCTCACCCCTGTGTCCATTTCCCAAAGAATTCCCTCTGGCATGGACTGGTGTGCCTGCCTGCAGCTGGGTTCCCTTTGACCTCCCGATAACTAGCAGTGACCTCTTTGCAGCCTATCCACTCTAAGAACCAGGAGTCCTCGCCTAGGTCTCCAGATGTGCAGCCAGCTGCAGAAGGGTCCTCTCTCTCGTCTTACCACCTGACAGAGTTCAGTGGTGAGCCCACAGGAACTGCACCTTCTTGTTCCCCACCCTTCACGGCTCTGTGAGTGAAATTGCCCCTAAAAAAGGGAGGCTGCACTGCTGGACGTCAGGCTTTGGCAGAATCGGCTGTGGCCCTGAGCCATGGCTCCCCTTCTTGGGCCAACTTTGAAACTGACAGGAAGGAGAGTCACACCCTGAAAAAGGCCGCTTAGAAGCAGGCGTTTGGGACTAAGAGGCATTCCTCTTGCCACCTCCTTCCTCCTCAGACCCAGGATCTATGTGGCATGCTACCGACCCGTGCTTGGCAATGACTGGTCTCCATTCCCCCACTCAAGCAGGATCTGTGTCCTGTGTCTGGGCCACCAATCTCGCCTCCCTTCTTGCTCCCAGGGTCCACTCACAGCAAGAACACGCCACGCCTCAGGCCACGGTGTTCTCTGTGGGCCACCCAGGGCTCCAGGTGCATCCGGTGAGGGTGTGTGCTCTCCACCTGGAGCAGCTTCTCAGCATCCTCTGGCAACATCACAGACACTATCTGTGTTCTTCCAATGTTGTACCTGTGAGGTGAAGGACAGAGCTCCCTGAAAACCAGGCCTGTCAGGGTGCTCCCTTGCCTCATCCTCTCCCAGCCCTTGCTTTCCCCACAGGAGGGCTCACCCACTGCCTGCCTGACTCCTCTCCACTTCAGCGCTCCTGCACTCTGTCCTCTTTCTCTGTCCCTGTGGAGAAGCCTGGTATCCCTGAGTCAGGCCCATGACCTACTGTGCTCCCTCCCTGACTCCCTGAGGATGGAATGCCTGCTGCTCACCTCATACCTGGCAGAGCCTGGGCAAGCAGAGAGGCAGGGAGCTCTGTCTGTGCTCAGCTGTGGGTCAGGAAGGCCCTTACCTGAAAATGGGCCCCAGCTCCTGAAAGGCCTGGTTCATCTCCAGATGCAGGTTCTCTTGGCCCTGCTCCCTCAGGATCTGTAGCATCTTCAGCCACTTGTTTCTGGAGTACTGCGGTATAGCTTCAAAGGGCTGCGGTGTCGTGGGGGCTGGCGCTGCTGTGGTGCCCAGCGCCCTCCTGCTGTGTAGGCGCTGCCAGGGTCTTGCCAGCCACATACCTGCTTTCACTCTGAGTGCCATTACCATGCTCCTCCATTCTCTTCTCTTCATCACACAGCCTTTTATCCTGCCCGAGTACTGTCCTGTTCAACTGATCACGTCATGGAAGAAATTGTCCCTGGACTTGCCTGAGAGATCCGGGCTTTGATGATGGCTGGGCTCAACTGTCAGGAGATGTGTATAACCAGCTCCCTAACTCCTACAAAGGCTGCTGGGGGGTTGAGACTGACAGTAGGCATAGTGTCTGCATGGGAGACTATGTTGACTGAGGTAGAGGGGGTAGACATCTCTCCTCTCTCTTCTTCCTATGGATGGGAAAAGGAAGATGGATGGATCCTGTCTTTTGAAGATGTTATAGAAGGACCTTGGTTTCTTTTAATAGACTGTCTTTTTTTTAGCGACTTTAGTGAAAAATAAATCTAGGAACTAGGAAGTGTAAGAAGGCATGATAACTATTTTTTCACAAAACATTTGAATTCAGTTTCTTATAATAGGAAGACAACTTTTTGTTGTTGCTACATGCAAAACAAGAAAAACACCTGTGGCAGCCAGGCGACGATGTCACAATGGCGCAGGAGATCAGGACAGCAATTCTGCTCATGGGCCAGGACTGTCCTCTGCACTGTCCGTGGTCTAATCAGACAAGGCACACCCTCAGCTTTCATCCCCCCTCCTCACACTTGTCAGGGCCTCTAGCTTGCAGGGTGTGTGCTTTCATGACACAATGATGATGGACAGGAGGATCGTCAGAATGGCCAAACTCCACCATCTTCAGGACTTCCATCAGCCCTGGTCACAGAAGGCTGTTACATCTGAGCCTATCGACTGTTAATACTCTCTCACCTCAGTTGCCCTTCCAAATACATTCTATGTCATTGCATCCTGCTATAGTAAATAGAAAAGTGTTGGGCCATATAAGGTTTATCATTAGCCCTATAATTATCGTGGCAGTATTATTTAGCCCGCTATCACAAATAGTAAGACACAGACACCTGTTAGTTTTTATCATTGCCTTATTCACCTTGGGCCAGGCAGATGTTTCACCTAGGCTTGTCTCAAAATCCTCACCATCCACCTCCCAGCCCCCATCCAATGCCATCCACCTTAATCATCCTCATCTGGGCTACCTTCCATTTGTAATCTTATAAATACTTGATTATATTTTCATCTTGGTGTTTTCTCCATCCGTGCCATCCTCAGAGCCCTTCCTCCTCACCCACATGGTTCCTCCTCCACGCTAACCCATCTTGGCGTCCCCCTTCTTCCTCTCTTGTCAGTCTGTTTCCCGCTGATTCTCTTGAACCTCTCCAAGCCTGGGAATCTTAGCCACGCCCACCCCGTTCTGTCCTGCCCAGGTACAGGCTGCTTAATCAACCAATCAAGTATGTCTTAGGCAGGCTTACAAAACAAAGATGGGTGTATCCAGATTTTAGGGCCAGTAACAAGCATCAGACCAACCTCCAACAGTACCCTAATTGCAAATGGCGTCAAGGTCTCTGAGAGAGGCTAGAGTATATGAGACAGGAAGAATTAGGGGGAAGGTTCCATCCGCACAGCCACGGGGGAGGGGTGGGGGCAGCATCCCAGCTCGGGGCAGACCATCCAAGGTAGTTTCTTTAAGGTCATCTATGCTCCTGCCCCAAAAGCCCTCAGCCATTGCTCTGTAAGTAAGTCTAATAAACTCACTGGTGACCAGGGGTAAACTTTGGTAAAATCGTGCTTTGGCTGGCCATTGGAACTTTGTGAGGAGGGGGATAGACCTTCCCTAGGCTCCTCACCTCCCGCACCTCAGGATGCGTGGAGACACGGCCCCTAGTTCTATCTCAAGAATGTCAGGACTCAGAATCGTTCATTCACTCTCTCACTAGTTAGACAAATATTGCGTGCTAGCCGGTCAGGGTACACACAGAGCACTGGGAATGTTTCTGTAGCCACGTACAATGTTTAGATTGCCAGGCACATACATATGATAAGATTGCCTGCCATGAAGCTGATACTCTGTTTGGCATGATGAGAGCCTATGAGGAGAGAAGTGATTTCCGGACTTTTCCTTGAGAACTGTTTGAGCTTATTGAAAAAAACGATCAGAAAGTAGGGAGAATTCCCATGAGCACACCTTCCCCTTTGACACCCCACGTGCTGTGGGGTTGACACCTTTAGAGTGACATCAAGGGAGTCTCATACAGGATGCTTTCATCTCCTTAGATGTCTGCCTCTGCCTGCTCATCCCCCTTGGCAAACACTGACCTTTCTACTCCTCCACTTTCTTTCTTTTTTTTTCTTTACACTTATTCGTGTGTATGTGAGTGTGTGCCTGTGTGTGTATGAATGTAGAGGCCAAGAGACACCTTTGGGTGTCATTCTACAGGCACTGTCTACCTGGTTGTTTCTTTTTTTGAACAGGAATCTCTCACTGGCCTGAAACTTGTCAAGTTGGAGGGGCGGGCTGGCCAGTAAGCTCCAGGGCCCCACCTGTCTCTATCTCCCACCATTGGGGTTACAAGTGCATGCCCTTAAAAAAAAATTATTTTATTATGTGTGTGTGTGTGTGTGTGTGTGTGTGTGTGTGTGTGTGTGTGTGTGAATGCAGATGCTTGCAGAGGCGAGAGGTGTCAGATCACCCATGGAGTTCAAGTCATAGACAATTGCCAGCTACTTGACATAAGTGCTGGGAAGGGAACTAGGGTCCTCTGGAAGAGCAGTAAGTGCTCTTAATCTTAACCACAGAGCCATCTCTCCAGCCTGATGCTGGGCTTTTTAAAAACACAAGCTCGAGGAATTTAATTCAGATCCTCACGCTTGCAAGGCAAGCAACTCACCAGCAGAACCACCCCGGGCCTCTCTCATTGTCTCCTCTTCTCAGAGTGTTGAATCATACGCCTTGTACTTTTCACATTGGCTTCTTTCTCGTGGTAATTCATGTTTTCTTTGGTGGAGCCACCATTTTCTCTTGACATTGAGTAACACCCCAGTCCCTGAGTAAGCTACTGTTTATTAAACAGCCTGTTCAACAAAAGAACATCTTAATTTCTTCCAAGTAAAGAACATCTTAATTTCTCCCAAGTTTGATAACCAGGGGCAAGGCTTCTTGCAACTTACTTTGGTGGATCCTACTTGTAATTTATTTGAAAGTATACACTTGCAGGCTGTGGCCTGTCTTGAGCACGTCTTCCAGAATGGCTACATCTGAGTTCTCATCCAAAATGAATGAAGATTCTTGGTGCACAGAGTCTTTACCAGTTTAACATGAGTGTTTCACATGTTGCCATTCTGAAATATTAACGTTGGGTGTCTTCCCCGTGGGGAGGGTGGGGTGTAGAGGTCAGAGATCAACCCACAGGAACTGGTTCCTTCCTTTGACCATGTGAGTTCCTGGGTCAAGTCATCAAAACATCAAACTCAAGTCATCAGGCTTTTACCCACTGAGCCTTCTCGCTCTCCCCATCCTTGCTTTTAATCTGTGTGTCTTTGGTTTTTTTTTTAATTTAATTTTATTTTATTAATTACACTTTATTCACTTTGTATCCCCCCATAAGCCCCTCCCTCCTCCCCTCCCAACCCCACCCTCCCTCTCCCCTCTTCACGCATGTCCCTCCCCACGTCCACTGATAGGGGAGGTCCTCCTTTCCTTCCTTCTGATCTTAGTCTATCAGATCACATCAGGAGTGGCTGCATTGTCCTCTACCCTGGCCTGGTAAGGCGGCTCACCCCTCAGGGGGAGGTGATCAAAGAGCAGGCCAATCAGATTATGTCAGAGGCAGTCCCTCTTCCCATTACTATGGAACCCCCTAAACTGCCATTGGCTACATCTGTGCAGGGGTTCTAGGTTATCTCCATGCCTGGTACTTGGTTGGAGTATGAGTCTCTGGGAAGACCCCTGTGTTCAAATTTTCTGGTTCTGTTGCTCTCCTTGTGGAGTTCCTGTCCTCTCCAGATCTTACTATTTCCCACTTCTTACATAGGATTCCATGCACTCTGCCCTGTGTCTTTGTTTTTAATGCAAGTTTCTTACAGATGACACACAGTTAGATCCTATCCTTTGTTTGGTGTGTTTAGGCCACTGATATTTTAAGAGATTGCTGGGATAGCTTGAGTTAATATCATCTGCCATACTAATGGCTGTTTTTTCCCTTCATTGTCTATATGCTTTGCTCTTATATTTTGTCTCTCTCTCTCTCTCTCTCTCTCTCTCTCTCCCCCCCCGGCTTTAGCTGAAAATTTCATATAAATCTTCCTATCCTGTCTTACCATATTAACCATACCTTTTCCCATTCTTTTTTAGCAATTGATCAAGAGTTGGAAATATACATTAAAACTAACCTGAGTCCTCATTCAAGTAACTGTGTCACTTCACAGACAGCGTGAGTGTCCTTAGCACCCAGGGATCCCTGGTCCCCTCCACAGCCAAGAGCTTTTTACCATTTTTAAACAGAGCAATAACAATGGGGAAAAAAGCCAATTCTTTCACGTCACCCCATCTGTCCTTGTCTTCCTGGCCTGCACCCCTTCTCTTCTCTCTCTAGCTCTGGGAAGGAAGGCCTGTGGACAACAGGTTTCCCTAAGTTTTGTTTGCGTGGAAAAGTCTTTATTTCTCCCTCACTCTGTGCGTGTGTGTGTGTGTGTGTGTGTGTGTGTTCACACGTGTGCATGTGTGAAGGTACATGTAGAAGGCAGAAGTCAACAATGGTGTCTTCTTCAGTCATTCTCCACATTGTTTTGGAAGACAGTCTCTTGCTGAACCTGACACTTGCCAACTTAACTAGCCTGCCTGGCTAGCAAACCCTGGGCACCCTCCTGTCTCTACTTTCCCGGTGCTGGGATTACAGAGATGTGCTGCAGCTGGCTTTTACACAGGCATATGCATCACACTCGGCCTTCACTACAGCCTGGCAAGCACTTCACCAACTGAACCTTCTTCCTCACCCCTCTCCTCACCTTTGAAAGACGACTGTACAGAATACGGAATTCTAGGTCACAGGATTTCCCCTTTCAACCTTTTAAATGCTTGTCTGCCATTTCTTTCTGGTGACTTCTGAGAAGCCAGATACGATTTTGTTCTTTTGTTCTTTTTGCAGCTCCAATTTT